TCTTCTTGTAAAGGACGGCGTCATGGACTACAAAAGAGCTTGAACTGGCCGGGTCATTCGCGGAGGCAAACAGGTGATCTAAGCAATGATCCTCGTGCTGTGCTGTCCGGAAAGCCGCGATGTCAGGAAAATGAGAGTCAATAGCTGTGATAAAATCGTCAAAATTATCAGCTTCACACTCGGTCGTTGGTAGAGGAAGCCGTGACAGGCAGTCAGCGTCTGCGTGGCGATTACCGCTCTTGTAGCGGACCGTGAAGTCAAATTCTTGTAACCGTATGGCCCATCGCGCAAGTCGACCAGATGGATCACGTAGGCTCACCAACCAGCAAAGAGAGTGATGATCGGTGATGACTGAGAAACGACGACCGTAGATGTAGGGGCGAAACTTGTGTACGGCGAAAACGACGGCGAGGCACTCCAATTCGGTAACCGTATAATTACGCTCTGCCTTGCTCAGGGACCGGCTTGCATAGGCGACGACGTGTTCAGCATTGTTGTGTCGTTGAATAAGCACCGCGCCGAGACCAACTCCACTGGCATCGGTGTGGATTTCCGTGGAAGCAGAGGGATCGAAGTGGCATAGTATTGGCCCGGAAGTGAGAGCGAACTTTAGTTGCTTAAACGCTGACTCACAATTTGGTGTCCAGTGGAAAGGGACGTCCTTGCGCAGCAAGTCAGTCAGTGGCTGGGCCTTTTCAGCAAAATTAGGTACAAAGCGGCGAAAATAAGAGCATAGGCCCAGAAAGCTTCGTAGCTCGCGGATAGACTGTGGCTGCTTAAACTTGCTGACGGCGTCCACTTTCTGCGGGTCCGGCCTAACACCAGCTTTGTCCACAAGGTGTCCTAAAACCAGTGTTTGCCGTTCACCGAAACGACATTTTTTTGAGTTCAGTGTCAAGGCGGCTTTCTCCAAACATGTTAGAACAACGTCAAGGCGATGATTATGTTCTTCAAAAGTTCGTCCAAAAATAACCACATCGTCCAGGTAACATAAACAAATTTCCCATTTAAGGCCTCTCAAGACGGTATCCATATAGCGTTCAAATGTTGCCGGAGCATTACACAAGCCGAACGGCATAACATTAAATTCAAATAGACCGTCTGGCGTTACAAAAGCCGTCTTCTCTTTATCAACTGGATCCATGGGAATCTGCCAATACCCGGATCGCAAGTCTACCGAAGAAAAGTAGGAAGCTGAATGAAGGCAGTCAATTACGTCATCAATGCGGGGGAGGGGGTACACGTCCTTCTTGGTTATAGAATTGAGACGCCGATAATCAACACAGAACCTCCAGGACCCGTCTTTTTTCTTACCAAAATAACAGGTGCAGCCCACGGACTTGACGATTCTTGAATTACACCAGTGGCTAGCATCTCGCCAACTTGTTCAGCAATAACTTTGCGTTCGGACACGGACACGCGATAGGGCTTTTGTCGGAGAGGATGAGCAGAGCCAGTATCGATCTTGTGACGAGCGCGCGTGGTCGGTATCTGAGCCCTAGGCACCGTCCGTGCAAAATCAAATACTTTAGCATGTCTCGCCAGCAGTGCAACCAGGTCTTTGCGCTTCTGTGAGGAAATGGACTTGCTAACCATTTTTGAAAATTCAGCTTCCATACCAGAAGTTTCCGGACCCGCCCTTTCAAGATCGCTTAAAGCTCCAATGCAGGTGCTGCTCTGCTTTTCGAACAGGGCAAGGCGCATACCAGCCGGTAGTACAACCGACTCGGGTGAGCTGTTTATCACCCATAATTGAGCCGTCTCGTCTGCGAGAGATACAATGCACCGTGGTACAAAGATGTTTTTCTTGAGACAAGCTACAGGCAATGGCTCAATCACTATGTCACGTGAATTCAAACTCGAGTTGGTTTCCGAAGTGGGTCACTTGTACGCTGGCCGTGGACCACGCTGGCAGAAGTACATCTTTAGCTACAGTGAGGTTACCTTTCTCACAATCAGGCTGCTGGGCGAGAGTAGACAACAGAACCTCACCTGCTCCACAATCCACGGTCGCACGACACTCTCGCAAAAAGTCTATGCCAAGTATAACGTCATGCGTTGATTGAGCCAGTACTGTGAATTCCGCCTTGAACGTTTTACCGGCAACACTAACAGACGCAGTGCAGACGCCGACAGGACGCAAGAATGCGCCGCTCACTGCCCGAAATGTGGCAGGTTTGTCCCAGTGAAACATAACCTTACGGCCCAGTCGTTGCTTAAAAACTAAACTCATCACGGAAACACTTGCGCCAGTGTCTATCAATGCCATCGTGGGAACGTCGTCAACAAGTACCTGAACCTTATTCTGAAGCATAGAAACTGGTGGAGGCATTCTTTGATGAAATCGGTACGTCCAGCGACCTCACCTCCGTCGGCCGCGCTGGCTAGTTTCCCGGTGGCGGAGACGACATTCGTGACCGGCGCCGTGGAGATGGTGACCGAGGTGGACGGGTGGTGGGCGGCGTTAAGCTGCGCACAGATCCGGGCGAATCACTCCGGTTGATCGGCTGGTAGGCGTGCCGCTCGTCAGTTGGGTTGGGGGGCCAGTAGGTGTAGTCAGGCCGTTGGCTTCGTTGTGCAAACGTCGCGGATCTCTGAGGGAATGTCGAACGTGGATTACGTCGCATTGGGCAAAATCGGGCGATATGTCCACGAACACCGCACTGGTAGCAGACGGGCCGTTCACGGGGCATAGGGAACGTCGCTGGATGTTGAGGGTACGCGGCGCTCTGTTCCCACTGAGACGCAAAAGGAGGTGGATGGCTGTTGTAGCCGTAACGACTGTGGGGAGCATGAGGCGGCTCTACATAAGAAGACGCCGGTGGTGGAGCCTTTAGCTGAGGGCCGCGGTTGGAATAGCTGCGCTCCTCGAAACTCGTAGCATTGATACTTGTGGACGGTGTATCGCACGGTGGTTCTCGGGCGTTCAAGGGCGCGTAAAGGTGACGACGAAGTTCCTCACGTACAATGAGGCGAATCGTTGACGAAAGGTCGGTAGGCACGGAGTCTTGGCACACATCGACAGTGGCGACGGTCGTAACATTGGCAAGGCGTCCGAACTTCGTAGTGATGCGGCGAGTCTTCAGGGCCTCAAACGTTCGGCAGTGCCCAATCACATCGGCCACAGACTCAAGACTCTCCTTGCCGATAAGGAAGTGGTAGACGTCTTCCGCAATTCCTTTGAGAATGTGGCCCACCTTGTCCTCTTCCGTCATGTTGGTGTCCACACATTTGCACAGTTTCAGTACCTCCTCAATGTAGGTTCTGCATGTCTCACCACAAGCTTGAGCTCTCTGCGACAACATTTGCTCTGCACGTTTCTTCTTCGTCGCAGGGTCGCCAAAGCACTTCTTGATCTCCTCCATAAACTGGTCCCATGTTGTCAAGGTGTCTTCGTGATTCTCGAACCACACTAAAGCACTGCCATCGAGAAATAGACCCACGTGGGACAACTGGCTGGCCGCATTCCAGCCATTGGCTCGGCTCACCCGTTGATAGTGGCTGAGCCATTCTTCAACGTCATCGCCAGGTTTTCCTGTAAATGTGCGTGGCTCTCGGTAGTGGAAAGACGGCGCCCCTCGCGACCGGCTGCTGGATGTCTCCGTCCAAGTTCATATCTTGAGGTAGTGGTGGCAAGCCCGCTAGTCGACGCCTGCGGCGAAGCTCGTGCTCTTGCGGTTCCGTCGTTAGTAGACGGCTGCTCTCCGGTCTCGCTTGACAGTAGCTGGCTTACCCAGCACCTTCCACCACAACTGTGACGAAGGAACGCGTTTATTTACAGGAAAATGGTTGAGATCGGTACAGCTCAGAGCCAGAAACCGGCGACCGAGCTGCTCGTGAGCCAGACAGCTTCTACCTCTTCCTCTTCATGCGCCCATCGAGGTGTGTCAATATATATATTCCGCCCCCTTTTTTTAAAGGCTGATTGCACCGATAATTCAGATGCAAGTGTGTCATTACTTTCCGGGAAATATGTTCAGCTTACGGAAAAATTACCTTTACGAAGAAAAAAAATAAAAAAAGAACTAAACAAAGCTAACGCTGACGCCGCAGTCTTCTCCTTACAACGCGTCTCATTGCGGAGAAGCGTGAAGTCACGAACACTTCTGCTGTGAGAACCAGAGTCTCGCCCGACCGAAATATGGCACTAAATACCGTTCAAAGGCTGCGAAATTAACGAACGCTTGTATGTTTCTGCGACTTACCTCAGTTTGGTTCTGAGGTCTCAGCATACAAGGCACAAAATGACTCAACCACACCTGCCTGCCCGTCCCCCACTTCATATAAAAGTGGTTCTTATCAAACTTTCACGCAAACTTTAGAAACAAAAGAGGTATCGATAACCCGATAACTCGTTTGGATTGTTTCAAATTCTCTTTTTTTCCGCGTGTGGTGGAAGTTTGGAACAAGCTTGATTGTGCATTGCGTAGACTGAACACTGTAGAGTTCGGGAAAAATTTTATGTGTTAGTCACATAAATTTGTGCGCACTATTGTTTGTTTCTGTGCTTTCGTTGATTTTTCTGTACCCGCTCCTGCAATGTCCCAGGCATGGGACAGCAGTATTTGTAAATAAATAAATAAAGGCACAGCGTTTTGTTCTTTAATTTGGTCCGAGTTTCGCGCTAGGTGGGAGTTTCTTACTTTGCACACACACTGATTACGTGGCGGCCACATTTCGACGGAGGCGAAATTAATGCCAGGGGCATGTGTGCTGTGTGGTGTAGTTCACGTTAAAGATGCCCCAGGCGGTCGATATTTCCGAAGCCCTACCCTATGGCGTCGCTCATAACCAAATAATGACTTTGCAGAGAACCGTCGAAGAGCTTTGCAGGCAACCATCCACGCAACCGCATCTGCTTATTTGCGACGCTCAAATATGAGTGAGCGGCACGTGCGAAATGAAAACATTTGCGCTCGCTATCTCGGCCGCTCACACCGCGGGCTGTTATCGCGACGGTGTGCGCTGCCCATCGCAATGCAGGCAAGTTCCCGGTTTACCTTCTGGAAGTCGGCGTTGTAGACGGCCCGCTTGTGTGACACTGTAGAGTAGTATGCTATCTTGGTCAGCGATCCTCCTGCAAGAGAAACACAACGTTTTGTTCGTTAGAGGGCACAGAACACTGCCCGCACAACAACACGGCTGAACAGGCCGATAACCCGACATATTGTAAGTAATTTAGCGCCACTTAGGAATCCCTAGAAACACTCACGCATTCGAACTCGCTTCCACTCAAGAGAAAACACACACCACGCACAGCGTCCGAGCCCGTCTCGAGTAGAAAGCTATTTGCGGAAAAAAAGTACTGGAAAAGCAGCCCGAACATACAATTCAGGGAAAAAAAGTAATCAACAATGTGACACAAGCGCACGTTTCAGTTTGGGAACTCTGTATTCACTTGTATTCTTTTTTTTTACCTCACCGCCTTCTGTTTTGTTTGTCGCTTTGTCTGCACGTCTTATAATGCGACCTGCTATAGCGCTGTTTGTTCCACTTCTTCAGGTATACTTAAGAGACGAGATCACCTTCCTCGTAGTGGGTGCAGTATTTTTTTTTTCTTTTAAAGCACAGTTGAGGCGGACATACCGACACATCTGCGCATACGACGATGACAGCGCGAGTCCAACCGCCTAGATCACTTGGAGGCCACACTGTTAATGAATAGATAATAAATGCTAATAAATGTTTAAAATTAGGCGGACTGGCGGAAACTCGAGGCTGCCGAAATTCGAGGACCTCAATACATTACGGCTGGCCTCTGTGAAAGCACATGCACTGCACTGATGCAAATTAAAAAAGAAAAATAAATCAATGAAAAGACTCACACGTGAGTTATAGCAGTCTGTAACGAGCACGAAGACACGGTCAAAAATTAACGACAGATCGTATAGTCTGCATTAAAAACACGGAGTTTGACGATTAGGACTGGAATATGATATGTGGGGTATAACGTCCCAAAACTACCATATGATTATGAGAGACGCCGTAGTGGAGGGCTCCGGAAATTTCGACCACCTGGGGTTCTTTAACGTGCACCCAAATCTGAGCACACGGGCCTACAACGTTTCCCCCTCCATCGGAAATGCAGCCGCCGCAGCGGGGATTCTGACCCGCGACCTGCGGGTCAGCAGCCGAGTACCTTAGCCACGTACTAGACCACCGCGGCGGAACCAGGACTGTAATATCTTGCTAATTGAGCTCTGCCCTTAAACGACACAGTTTTGCGAATGCATGTATTGCCAGAACACCATTGATAATTATTTTATTCAACAACTGGAAGTACGAACGTTGAACTTGTCACGTTCGACTGCGATAAGGACACAGACAGGAGGTTTGTTGCGAGAGTGGCGACTGGCTTGTCTACAGCCAGACCACGTTTATTGAGAAGGCGATCAAAGACAAATCCCGCCGGTCCCGTCCGGCACAAGCCATCGTACATATAGCTGCATCTTCTCATTCTTCATAATCAGGTGCTATGTTAGGAACGGAAATATAAGTGTTATAAAAATCTCAAGTACGAGTGCGATACGCGGACCTGTTTGAGTGTCGCGCTTGCATTTCAAGCCCCCATAAATAACCATATGTGTATTGCGCAAAAAACAGACGGAAACACGAAAGAGTGTCATTGTTCCCGCTAGCATGACAAAGTCAGTAAGGAGATACCGCGCACACTGATGCGATGATAGCTTTAACCTGCAGAGACAGCGCCTAAGAGAAAACGGCTACCCAGACGGCCTGCTGGTATCAGTTGGGGAAAACATTCTAGAAGAGATAAAACGAAAGGAAGGTAAAGAACCCAGCTAGCATGACAAAAAGCCTGCAGTGATCCCATACGTTCACAACGCATCCCATAAATTGAAGAAGACAGGAGCCAGGCATGAGCTGAATGTTGTGTTCTCAGCTCCAGTCAAATTCAAAGGAATGTGCCAAGAAGTGAACGACCCCGAGGCAAACAAAGCAAAATGCCGAACACGTCATGCCAAAAAAATACATTGAATGTGAAGTAGGCATCGCTTACTCTACCCCACTGACATGTGGCAAGGAATACATTGGGCAATCGGGAAGGTGCATCCCCGAGCGGCTCAAAGAGCATCGCCATGCATGTCAGCAGACAACCATCACAGGCAATCTTTCTATGCACCGCACTGAGTGTGGGTGCACCCCACTGTTTGAAAAAAAAAAGCTACAATTCTGGACAAATCACAAAATAAGACTACATGCGAAATTTAGGAAGCTTTTCACACATATCACAAAGAAAGCGCATGCGTCAGTTCCAGCTCCATTGGACTGACCCTCACAGAAATCAAATTCATCAGATGCCAGAAATAGCATTTTATTCAGCATAAGCACTTTGAAGAAGCACCACATCTGGTAATCGTAATCAACCCACGTGTTTGCATATGAAGACCGTGGAGCAAGATTGCCGAGCCCCACCCTCTTCGTAAATCGACTATTCCCTTTCCGGGAAGCCTTCATTCTTCCAAGTTCATCCAATAAACTACCGTTGATAGTTTGCGCTTGTACTGCCCACTCCTTTTTTTGTCTCCTCCCTAACTTCGTTTTCTGCAGCAACTGTAGCGCAATTTTTCTCAGTTGTAAAAATGACGTATTTCAATAATTCGATAAGGCTGAGGTCTCGAAATAACACAAGAAGTTTACTTACACATTTACAACTTAGTTGGGGATACCCATATTCCACAGGCCCGATCACACCCGTCTTCACGACCTTTTTCTTAACCAATGATATTTTTCCTGTCCCCATTTACCACAATAGAGAAAGTCATTATGAACCAAGACCCGACCTCTCAAACCATGGCCGTTCAGAGGGCTCGCGAGACGGCCGTCACGTTTAAACTGAAGGTCCTTAAGTGGGCCTGGCCAGGCGGCGTATTTGGAATTGCTGGCCCCGCATCGCACGAAAGAGGAACAAGAAGGAGTGTGAGGAGGATGCCAGCGCCAGGATTGCTCGCGCGCTATTGGTTCCTCTTTGTAGAGGTCGTGCACGCCTGTAGGTGACGTGCTGGGGACGCACGCACGCGCCCGCGATGAAATGTGCGGAAAGCACCCACAACCTGTCACCACACTCTTTCTCTACCTTTCCCTTCTGCCTTCCTACATGTTTCTTTCCCTCTCCCTGTAAGAGATGAGCCGAACCGTGCTACCCGCAAGAGTTGTAGAAGAGTTACTTTTTTTGTTTTGTTTTATTCAATCAACCATTACATCATACGCGCCACTGCTGGCATGGTCGACGCTCATGTGCGAATTAAAGTTCAAAATTCTGTCACACACCATACTTCTGTCACTTCTGTCACATAACATAGTTCCAAATGCCCTTGCAGAAACACGATTACGACTGTAATGGCAGACGCTCACATCTGAATTAGACGCCAACACATCAAACGTGAAGCGTGTTTCGGTCAACGACGCAGCTCCGAATGACATGGAAGCCTCGCGCATACTTACGTGCGAAATAGACGCCAGTTCGGCCGGCCCATCTGACGTGAAGTGCCTCCTCGTCGACCTCTGCACGGACGGGTGCGCAGGATTGGCTGGCCAGCTACAGCAAAACAACTAATACGACGATCCACGTCGTATTAGTTGCATTGCTGCTGTCTGTGCTGAAGGCGTCACGGAGGCACTCTTTTGTTGACAGTCGGAACCTCTTAGCTCATTGAAACCATCACCGTGCTATCGCCATCTTATCGAAATTCACTCGCTGGCACCCTCGCCGCACGGTAGCGATCCATCCAAGACACCGAAGGGGCCAGGGTGCTTCGGCACGATGGTAGAGGTTTTTGAAAGGGGAAAGTGAAGAGAAAAGCGCGGAGCTGTTATTGTCTTTCAACACGAAGGCCCCGACACTGCTCCGCGCGGGGGATGGGGGACGATGGAACAGCCGTAAACACTTCTCTGTGTTTCCGTGACTCCGCGACGATGACAGTGACTGCCGGCGTGTCTTCGGGAGATCGGCGGCTGAGCGAAAATTCGCCCCATATCTTTGCTTCAAATGACCACGAAGCGGGCAATCTTGGGGGAGTTAACAATTCCCACTGCAAGGCTTCCGCTGTGTCTGAATAGGCAGCTCAAGCACCCAACTGAAGTCTTTTCTTCCCTACCTTATTGTGCAACCCGGATCCCGTCCCTCGTTACCAGGGATTATGGCGGGGGCTGCGCCGCTTAGCCGGAGAGGGTCTATGGCAGAGCGGGGAGCATGGCTGAAAATGAGGTGTGCAAGTTTAGCCGGTGTCGCTGCATCACCAGCACGTCACCTCCAGAGGCGAACCAATAGTGCGCGAACATTCCTGAGGCTGGCACTGGCGTTCTCCTCGCACTCTTCCTTTTCCGTCTTTCGTGCGATGCGGGGCCAGCAATTCCAAATACGCAGCCAGGCGACATTGAGTTGTAACGCGTCTATAGTTGACCTAATACCGTTGTTTCACTCACTCACTCACTCACTCACTCACTCACTCACTCACTCTGCCACCAAACGCTGCCCAAGTTGAACAATTTTTTGGTTCGCTTCCTCTATTTTGTATCGACATGACTGATCAACAAGTAGCTGAAAACTTGCGCGGCTTAACACTTCTCCCCAATTTGTCTTAATCGATCATCCGATTCTACTTGCTGATAGCTTTTCTACGCTCGTGTGACGTTCATTCCGCATGACCCTTGAACAACCTGATTCTGTGTTTCCCTGTGAGCTCCCTAATCAAGCCTATATCGACACCACGTTGCTGAATTTCCAACCTTGTTCATAGGACTACATGAGAACCATCCTTCCTTTCTCAATTGCCCTTATCACCTCGTGCCCATTGCAATTCCAAAATGACATCTTTTCACTACAGCTGCACACTTGTCATCTTTAGTAACGAATATCTTGTGAAACTTTAAGGACTCAGTGCCACTATTTATATAAATACGCCAAGATATTTAAATTTCGCCTCCATAGATGGAGGGATTTATCCAGTTGCGCCCTTGAGATCGGGCGGCGGCTCCCGCCACCTAGCGTCAGAACGCCGCCGCGCCACCATGCAGTCGAGATCATAGCGCCGTGAGTGGGCTCCGTCATGTGTGACG